ATCGCGGCTTCATTTCCCTCTGCCGATCTGGCTAATCTACATGCCTCCGTCGAAGGAGGCATGTAGTCTAGACACACCCCTAGTCAGTTGCTAACATTGCCCTTTGGGTTTACCCCAGGAGACAAGGTTAGGTACAGAGGATACAAACAGCCTCCTCATCTATGCCAGGGTTAAACACAACATTTTCTTACACTCTACTATGTCCAGGGAATGCCTTGCAATGGCCTCTGCCAGTCTAGCCTCTTGAAAGTGTATGGAAAGTGCCATAGTTTCCTGCACAGGTTGGGCACAGAGGATGGATATGGTACTCACTTCAAGGGCTCTATACAAACCGCACTCCCCAAAGCTCTTGGATCTTTCTGCCTGATTTAGACACTCTGTCTCCTTCAAGCTCCTGCTAAGGCAGTGCATTTCTGCACAACCCGAGCTATGCCTTAAAAAGGCATCATAAAGCCCAATGTGGCTAGTTGGAAGAACAGGTTGCTTGAAAAGTAAGTTTAACAGGTTCACTATGGCAGTGAGCAACAGTCAATCAGGGACATCTATGGGAAAAAAAACTAATTTCCTAGTGTGACTTGAGAAAGTAAGGGTATCATGGTATTTTATCAGCTATAGAAAATGATTTCTTCTAATACAACAAAAAAGCATACTTTACACAGGAGTTGTAATGTTGTCACACTGAAAAAAATTAATACAGTTCAAATAAAACATAAAGTCAGACTAGACAAACAAGATTTATTTTTAAGGTCCACTTTAAACATTGCTCAGGAATATATGGGAGCCTTTCAAACTAGCACAATGAAAATGCCACAGACACCACGTGCACATTTTCTGAAAGAAGAAACCATTTCCCCATACTTATCTGTGATGTTATAATAAATGTATTCATAGAAGTTTGAAGAAATTCATAAAATTACATAACTCTGAATTGTTTTTTTTTAAAATCAGAAGTAATGTGCACATTTTTTACTGCATAAGCATATGTCCTTTCTAAAATACATGCAAACAAGTAGTCAGAGATTACTAGGCCTCAGCTCTTTCTACACTCAAGTATCTAGAATAATTAAACCCTTCATATAGATGTTTAAACAAAGACCAACAATTTTTCTGCAGGTACTCATGCAACTATAGTACTTATGAGGCATAAAGTAAAATCAAATTTAAAAATCTCCAAATGATCACTTAACAATACAAATATAGGACCCAGGTGTATGTCTTTAATCAAATTTTTCATATTTTGGAGCTGGGTTACTGTAAAATTATTTTATATTTGCTTCATTTTTCAGTAGGCTGAATTTTCTCCCATAAGTCTGTAGTGACTTTTGCTGAGGCCAATTTTTTTGGGGGGAGGGAAAATGGGAGGGGGTTGGAGTGAACATCTTAGAGGCACAATATAGAAAGAAGAAATCAAGATATCAGCTATATAGAACTAACTTATTTACAACAGCTCACTACACAAAGCACAGACATAGTACCATAAGTGCTGATCAAATCTCTTGTGAATTATGGGCTAAGTGCTTTCTCATTTAAAGTTTTGTGCAAATGGGAGCACATACGAGTCCCACGATTGTGAGATTTTTGTTGGGTCATTCTTTCTCTGCACTGTCCCTTCTGAAAAGCAGGGCCAGGAGCAGAGAGGACAGCTAGCAGGCAAAGTCACATTTTCTCATGCATGGCAGCCATCCATGAGAATTGGGCACTGTCTTGGGGATCTTGTTCTGTCTGACCTCCCCTCAGGCCTTCTAAAGATTAGCTTTTGGCCTGCATTGCTAAGCAACTAATTCTTTGTCCTCCACCACACATTAACACAATGCAAGGAGGAGTTACAATTACTTCAGGACAGCAGCAGCTTACAATGAAATGTATGTTGCAAAGTTCTCCTGACCTGAGTGGAATATGATGCGCTGAGCAGCTGTTCTGATGGCAACATGCTTGCCATGCCCCTATTTGAGGAGAACTAGAGTTCCAACAACGTGCAACTGAAGGAGAGAAGTAGCTATAGGATGTTATTTTGGAGGCAGGAGGAAGATGTTACCATAAAGACCCATTTCTCTCCAGTATACAAAGTCTCCAACTCCACTTCCGTTCCATAATTTGACACTTCTCAGAAATGAGTTATTTTAAACAATACCAATTATGTCATTTAACTATATGTTGTCTTAAGAGCTACTGTATTTAATTCCAAGAGAATTAGGTTAAAGTCATGTTTCATTATTTATAGATTCACATCTTTTGTGACGAACATGAAGTATTTCAGTTAAATAAATAATTACATAAAACTGAAGCCCAGACTGTACCTTGTTTCCGTCTCTCTTTGATAAGAACATTATCTATCCTTATTTCTCATGGGCCTTTTTTCTGTTCCTAGTAAAGTTAATGGTAATCATCCCATTAACTTCTTTCTATGAGAGGATCATTGAATCCCATACTGTGAAAAATAACTGTAGTTAAATACATTATAAAGTTTAAATGATTCTCTATGGAAAATGTTCCAAAAAGCTATAAAATAAAAATGAAAGTTATGACTAATAAAATCAGTGTAATCTATTCCAATTTCTAGCGAGACATTTTTAAGCTGTCTGAACTGAAATTCAGCTACTACTGTGATGTGTGCCACAAACATTCTTACACAAGGAGTTTAAAAGGTGGCTTATTGGGGGAGTATGCAGTGATTTCCACACTGATATTTAAAGCTTTTAGAACAATGCCAATGGAAATTCTGAGCCATTGTCTTTGTATGTCCCCTCCCAATCTCAGTATGTATCAGTATGTTAGGGAATGCTGTCTCTGAAACACATCCCATGAAGCTGATTATCTATTCCATATTACATGTACATCTCTCATAAATTTCAGTGGGACTTTCTTGTACAGAAGGAATGCAGAATGGGGAGAATTTGTTTTCTCATTTCTTATAAATATCTCAGTGATGTCTATTTTGCTATTTTTAATATAAAGACATTTCAGTGAAACAAATATTCTCTGCAATAGGCATAGACTAATATAGAGTATCAATTTTTAGGAATGATAACATACATCATCTCAGAGAATTTTTTGTCAACTAGACTTTAGTTCATATTTCAAAGAGGTTTACCAGGACTTCCTAACTTTGGGTACGTCTAGACTATGTTTTATTTTCGAAAAAGGATATGCAAATTCCGCAGGATTTGCCTATCTTCTTCCAATCACTTTTTCGAAAGCGGGTCTTTTGAAAGTGAGAGTAGTCTGGACGTGGTTTTTTAGGAAAAGAAACCCTTTTTTGAAAAACTTTTTAAAGGAGGAGCGGTTTTTCAAAAAAAGGGGATTTTTTCAGAAAAAAAATGCATCCAGACTACTTTCACTTTCGAAAGACCCGCTTTCGAAAATAAAATGTAGTCTAGATGTACCCTTTATGATAACGTAAAACAAACTAGTCTGACTGCTTGGCTGTACACTTTGTAAGGTGCACAGCAGTGGTGGGTAATACATACGGCTACGTCTACACTGCAGGTTTCTTGCGCAAGAGCGCATCCATACTGCATGGATGCTCTCTTACAAGAAAGCTCTGATTGCTATTAACAGAATGGCCACCAGGGAAACCTGTGCTTCTTTCGATAGGCTGTTTTTGCACAAAAAAACCTTGTTTCCCGTCCACACACACCTTTTTGTGCAGTTAGCAAAACTACCCTATCTCGGGAGATTATCTTGGTTATTACAATCTTGCAGACCACTGAGATGAAGGAGGGCCATTCATGCAGCCCACTCATTAGTTTAGGTTGTCCATTGTTGGCATATAGCAATAAGAATGCGGTCTCCCTCACTGAAGAGTTTGTTCTATGGAGAGGTGGAGTGTCTTTGTACAATTTATTCTGTGGTACAAATTCTGCTCTCATGCATCCCACGAATATGAATCTAGGAAGGACCTTGCCCACTTATGAAGGCTCAATGTCAATCTACCTTCATCAATTCAATTCACTGGTTCTTCTAGGAAAATTCCTCTCCTATCTCTATATTCTTTTTCTTCTTTTGAAACTGACATCTTTCTCATCCTACTGGATACATATCCCAGTGCACAACAACAACAATTTAGGTGGCTAAGAAAAGGGATTCATGCAAATGGATTCTCTCAGCTAAAAAATAGCAGATGTGGAAAAATCAGGCATAACAGATATTTAACAAGAAGAGAGTGCTTATTTGGCAAAACACTGAAATGTAGCTAGCAGACCAAATACAGCTCCTCTTGCCAACACCAGAGCTGAATTTAGCCAGTGTGTTTAATTATTATCTAGAGTATTCCAGCCAGATAAAACAAAAACCAAAACCACACAAGACTAACCCTCCCCTCCTTTTCTTTATATTGACTCAGTTTTCATATATCTTAAAATATATACAAAAGCCTCTATTTTGGAACAAAAGGAATGGTAAAATGTATATACTTTATAAGGTGAAGAATATATCCTGTTTAAGTAACATTATCATTTGTAGACTTTTAAAAATACCAGTAGTAACTAAGCACTCATTAATCCAGTCATTTTATAAGTAACTATAAGAAGATGAACTGATGTCAAAGCAGAGAAGATCACTGGAACTTAGATAGAAGAACCATACAAAGTTTTAAGAAGTATCATTTTTACATGTACAAGTAGTCCAAAAGCTCCATCTATTGCCACAATATATAGGAATGTTAATATTTTAATCACAGTTTTTCCCACAGCGCACATCAATACTAGCTACATGTAAAGTGAGATCAGTGCTTTGTCACCCCTGTTCATATCTACATTCTATACCATAACTAAATAAATTATTTTACATTAAAGTGCTACACCAACACTAATGGTCTTGAACAGTAGTAATGCACATTGCTCTTTCAAAAAATACAGCAGCCATAACTTCAAATGTCGTCACATTATGTGACTATGCTTACATGTTGGTTTGTTACAGTATTAAAAAACTGCATGCCACAAAAACAAATAGCTTCAGTCAAGACTCTTACACAGTAAAAATAAGAAAATGAAGGAACTAACTATTTGCAGAAAAAACAGTCTTCAAAACTCGCACTTGAAAGTTTCATTTAATCGTAACTTGCTGATTTCGATATTTATTTCTTCTGGTTTGTCACGTCTGTATGTTACTGTTCTTGAACAAACAGTTGGCAAAAACATTTTATCCTTGAAGGAGAAGATACAGTTTATCAATAAATAGCTACAATATATACGCAAACAAAAAAATACTGAATATGATTTTCTCTGAAATAAATTACCTTCTTTGTTGCAGATGCTCTGTAATCTGAGGAAGATTTAACTTTATTGCTATTCCACTGTAGAATTATCTGTCTGATAATAAGTACATTAAGCAACCCGATCAAAAATGTAACTATAAAGATTATGAAAAAGATTCTGAAGTAGCTTGGGTCAGAGAAACATTCTGCAATAAAAAGGAAAAGAAATGTGTAAAGCTTAAAATATTAATAATTGCTATCCATTACACAAGTTTGTATTTAAGTCTGCACATTAATTTAGCATAGCTTCACCAAGCCAAATTCCTAAAATAACTCCAAATGATTTTACTTGTCAAAGTATTTAATAAAGTAATAATAGTTCAGATGGCCATATACAAACAATTTTTAAAAGAACTTTATCAGAAAAAAATCCAATTAGGAAGATATAGATAGATGGTCTTGGTTTTTTAATTCTTTAATCTTACAATAGCACTTTGAGGTCCCAATTAAAAATCAGAACTCCATTGTATTAGGCCCAAACACATAGCAACAGACAGTCCCTGAAAGAGACCTTATAGTTTAACCAGACAAGAGAGAGAAAGGATGGAAGGTAAAACCCAGACTTGTGATTTTCCCTGATAGTCAGTAGCAAAGTCAGGAATAGAAGCCAGCTCTCTGTCCTCTGGACCAAACTTCTTCCCTCAACAGTTAATGGTAATGGTATTAAAAATCTACGGACCCTTCTCATAAATCCCAAATACAATTGCTGTAACTTCAATAGCCACTTTAAAACAAATTGTCTTCAGAAAGCTATTAATTGACAAAAAGTGGTTGCATATATGTACTTTTTTTGCCATCAGGGCCCTGTCACTTGAATGGACTTTGGATGTGTTTATTATTAATTTCTTCTGCACTCTCTCATTACCTTACAGTTGTGTACAATTAAAGACACATTAAAATGTTTAATAGAGCTATGTGTTCTATTTCATTTGTTCAGCTCTTGTAATGTTAAATAATGTAAACATATGAAAAGTAGTAAAAACATACAGATACAATAATAGATTTATGTAATTCTCTCTTTAAACATTATGGAGCCACAGGACTAATTATTGGAGGCAACTTCTCAAGAATCTGGGAAATCTGACACAGTAATGCTGGCCAGTCACATTTCCTGTTATTATTTATCCTTTCATTTCCCCTGAAGCAAAACAAACTTTCTTCAAACAATCACAATCTACATTTGAAGGAGAATATAAATGCTAACTAGAGCAAGGAATGTTACTACAGAAACCCCTGTGCATCAGTGAGGCTATCAGATACAAAATATGTACTACATTTTGCAGGGCTGAGGAAGGCATTTCGGGAAGGAAGAATGGACACTTTTTTACAATTAACTATTGATTAATAATTAAGGGGGAAATTCCCCCCAGTGCAGAAGGCCTATACAAAATCCTGAACACAACTTGCACTTAATTTCAAAGAATTAAATATTTCCTGAGTGTTGCTTAGCATGTTGTGTGGGTTCTTTATGGTAGGATGAATTTCACTATGAATTCTGATAGTTTTTACACTTTTATTAAAGTGACTAGGTAAAACTAGGTTTTTACATACCGAATGTTGGATCAATATAATGCACCATATAAGCACATGAGGCTTTGCACTGGTCACGTGTTGTTTGTGATGCATTGTCAGAATGATGGCACTGAACACAATTTCTGAAAACGAAAATATAAATATAACATTTCACCACTACTATAAATTCATTGAATTTACTTAAAAGACTAAATTGACACAATAATTATTGTGTTCAAATAATGTTTTCTTGCTGTGAGAAAAATACTATAGCATCTATTTATTAACTTTGAGACATGTGGTCTCTCTCTCTCTTGCAATATTTTAATCCACTGTTATTTTCTGTGATGTTGTAGCTGAGTTGGTCCCAGGATATCTGAGAGACAAGGTGGTGATGATCAGGGCTCGACAAATCCGTTTATCTACTCGCCTCTGGCAAGTAGATTTCAGCCGGTCACCCTGTTCACCGGCGGTGCACGCATGCGCAGTGTGGGTCTGGCACATGCGCGGTACGGGGCTGGCGAGTGGATTTCACCATGATTTGTCGAGCCCTGGTGATTATGCTATCTTGTTTTGGGCCAGTTTCTCTTGGTGAAAAGAGATACGCTTTCAAGCTATATTGAGCTCATATACAGAATGACCATATGAAGACCTCTGGTCCAAATAAAGATATTACTTCACTTACCTTATCTTTCTACTTTAGCTCAACAACATTTTTCAAAACTATTTGGTGAAAAGTAGTGAAGTAAAATAGATAGATGCTGGCTCAAAGCCACCCACCCCTGGCCCTGGACTACATCTTTCATGCTGTATATGTAAACAGGTGCCGCACAGAATCCACCCCATGTATTCCTTAGTTTTCAGATCCACAAACTTCACAGTAGCTACTAAAATAAAGGTGGGTTCTTTCCTTGCATGCATCATCACTAGTAATAATGATCCTGCTGTTCACCTTTTCTCTCTTACCCCACGTTTTCACTGTGTTCAGTGGGATGCACAGGAATTATGAAAGAGAAACGTTTAGCCTTGCAAGTTTAATTTTTTTGATTATACATTAGGAAGAATGGACATGAGTACATTTTCCACACAGGGCTGGGGCTGCAGTACCTACAGGAGTAAAGTAACAAACAACTTACTCTTGTTACCAAATGTCAACAGATCAGACTGAATATAAACAGGGAGTAAGTGGTGCCATTTTTACTACTAATTTCAGAGTGGAACTGAACTTTAAATGACTACAAAAGACAAACATCATCAAAGTTACCACAAAAAATGCAACTGACTTATTAATTAAATTGAGATACATTTTTCATAGACAGAGGCACTAACTCCCTTTGACTTGCAATGAGCCTAACAGACAGGATACAGGCAGTCCCCGGGTTACGTACAAGATAGGGACTGTAGGTTTGTTCTTAAGTTGAATTTGTATGTAAGTCGGAACTGGCGTCCAGATTCAGCCGCTGCTGAAACTGACCAGCGGCTGACTGCAGGAAGCCTGAGGCAGAGTTGCTCTGCCCTGGGCTTCCTGGAATCAGCCGCTGATCAGTTTCAACAGCAGCTGAATCTGGACACCTGGGACAGAGCAGCTGGGGCGCTGTCGGGTAGGTCCCCGCAGCGCTGCACCTCAGCGCTGCGGGGACCAACCTGGTAGCACCCCAGCAGCTCTACCCCAGGTGTCCCCAAGTCAGCCGCTGCTGAAAATGGACAATTTCAGCAGCGGCTGACTTGGGGGCGCCCTGGGGGGA